GAATTCAAAAATGTCGCTCCTATTGATAATTTAAATATATTTTAGCTTAGCTGAATTAAGTTTTTCGTTTGCTGAATAACAATTTCTTAATCAGTTGTTCTAATTTAACATACTAACGTTTTTATGCCTTGCTGAATTGGGTTTTTAGTAGCTGAATAGGCATAATTGTTAGCTGAATTAAATAATTTAGCAATATTTTATCAATCTGTCAAATTTTCGTTTAGCTGAATTGGTTTTCAAGTAGCTAAATATGCATAATTGTTAGCCGAATTAGATTTTCCATTGCTGAATAACATTTTTCATAGCTGAATATAAAATTTTAATAGATAATTTTATTTTTGTCCCAATAAATAAATAGCTGAATTATGTTTTTCTCAGATATATTCTATATTTTCTTAGCTGAATTAGGTTTTTTGTTGCTGAATAACATTTTTCATAGCTGAATATCAAAATTTAATAGCTGATTCGATATTTATCTTAATAATTACTTAGCTGAATTAAGTTTTCCTTACATATTTTCAGTATTTTCTTAACTGAATTAGGTTTTTCATTGCTGAATTACATTTTTCATAGCTGAATATCAAAATTTAATAGCTGAATCGATATTTATCCTAATAATTACTTAGCAGAATTAAGTTTTCCTTAAATATTATCAATATTTTCTTAGCTGAATTAGATTTTCCATTGCTGAATAACATTTTTCATAGCTGAATATAAATTTAATAGCCGAATGGATATTTTTCTTAATAAATACCTAACTGAATTATGTTTTCCTTAGATAAATTCGATATTTTCTTAGCTGAATTAGTTATTTCGTTGCTGAGTAACATCTTTCATAGCTGAATGGCTATTTTTCTCAGTAAATCTTTTGCTGAATTAAGTTTTTCTTAGATATATTTAAAATTTTCTTAGCTGAATTAGGTTTTTCGTTGCTGAACGACGTTTTTCACAACTGAATATCAAAATTTAATATCTGAATGGATATTTTTCTCAAAAAAGGTTTAGCTGAATTAGGTTTTTCTTATATATTTTCAAATATTCCTTCGCTTAATAAGGTTTTTCATTGCTGAATAAAATTTTTCATAGCTAAATGAATATTTTTCTCAGTAAATATTTTGCTGAATTAAATTTTCCTTCGATATATTCAATTTTTTCTTAGCTGAATTAAGTTTTTCGTTGCTGAATAACGTTTTTCATAGCTGAATATAAAAATTTACTACCTGTTACTATATTTTCCTTTATAAAGAAAAAGGTAGATGATATTTTTCCTAGCTGAATTGATTTTTTCATAGCTGAATAGATTTTTTGGTGGCTGAATAACAAAATTTATGACCAAAATCGATAGTTTTCTCTAAAACTAATTAGCTGAATTAAATATTTCGTAGCTGAATTGAATTTTTGCTAACTTAAAATTAGTTAGCTGATCTCATTTTTCCTAGCAGAATAAGGTTTCTTTCAGCTGAATTCAAATTTTTCTTAGCTGAATTAATTTTTTCACTGCTGAATATGACAAAATCCGCCTGATATGACAAATTCCGCCCAAAATGATTCACAATGATGGCAACAAACAAGAAATTCTAATTACTCTGATAGGTTGACCCCTGGATTACAAATTGTCCTTGTCTTTAATTTATAAAAATGAAAAGAAGAAAATAAAAACAAAAACATTTGTTTATGACCCCTTCCCCCACATATGTTTGTAACCCAATACCCAGCTCGTAAGTATGTTTAATCGCTAATATAAAAAATTGTGTATGACATCATTACACATATATATTTTCCCTGGTTATTGTTGTTGCTGCTTGTTGACTTTGTTTTATTTGAATTTTGTTGTCGTTGTTGATTACAATATTTATTTTCAGTTTCCTCATTTCTTTTTTCTTTAGAACTGCTGACTGTGTTACTGATTGCTGGATTGTCGGACTGTCTAGTTGCTTCTGCAGGTCTGCTGAGCCCCCGACTATCCGACTATTTTGCAATAAATAAATAAATTGTTTAACTATTTAAATTATGATTATTATTTTGTGTGACATCGCCATCAGCATCGGAATCATCCATGAGGCGCGGTAGATGCTTCTCTGCTAGAATTTTTTCCACTGGCCTACAATAAATTACCGCTTGCGAGATAGGGAGGCAGGGCAGACAATTACATTTTTTACTGAACGACATTTTTGTGATGATCCATGTGATGTCGTGTTCTTTCCACATATTTCTAAATCATGTGGTAGGGAAAGGGGATGGGGAGGGGTGTAGTCCGACCCGCACATTGCTACTTCCTACTTATGTTCTTGACAGTTCATCATCATCATCGTCGTCAACCATCTACGTCTTCCATTCTAACTGTGAAGCCCTTCGTTTTTTGTTGTGGTGCTCTCCAACAATGAACTCTCTGAACTTTATGACAATTTGAATCGCCATTGTTGTTGTTGTTATTGTCAATTGTATAATTTTTTTATTATTCTCGGAGACCCACTTCTTTTCCGAGCACATTTCAATAAATGAAAAAAAAAACATAATTCTTATTCTTTTGTGAAATGTTAATACGCCTTGTCCCATAGCCTGACATCATCGTTTTTATTTCCCCTGTAATTTCAAATGTTGTTAATTCCCAAAAAACTAAGCAGGATGTCCGCAAAAGGTTCCAATATTTTTGTATCGTATGTAATACCTTATATGGAGTCTTTAGGCACATGACTGAGTGGGAAAAATGTAAATTCTATCAACAAAAACATAATTCAGCTAAGAAAAACTCAATTCAGCTAAGAGAAAATTGTTAAAAATAGCAATTCAGCTAATGAATTTGTATACCTATATAAGAAAACCCTTATTCAGCTACGAAAAACACCATTCAGTTAAGAAAAACTTGCTTTCAGCTAAGAGAAAATTGATCAAAATATAAATTCAGCTAATGAATTTTGATATTTATCTATGAAAAAGCTTATTCAGCTTCAAAAAATTTATTTCATGTATGAAAAAATGAATTCAGCAAAGAAAAACTTGATTCAGCTTATCTTATTATCTATGAAAACCCTTATTCAGCTACAAAAAAAACTTGATTCAGCTAAGAAAAAATGAATTCAGCAAAGTAAATCTTGCATTCAGCTAAGAGAAATTTGATAAAAATATCAATTCAGCTAATGAATTTTGATACCTATCAATGAAAACGTTTATTCAGCTAAGAAAAACTTAATTAAGCAGAGAAAATCTTGCATTCAGCTAAGGAAAACTCAATTCAGCTAAGAGAAAATTGATAAAAATATCAATTCAGCTAATGAATTTTGATTCCTATCTATGAAAATGCTTATTCAGCTATGAAAAACTTAATTCAGCTAAGAAAATCTTGCATTCGGCTAAGAAAAACTCAATTCAGCTAAGGGAAATTTGATAAAAATATGAATTCAGCTGATGAATTCTGAATATTGTCTATGAAAACGTTTATTCAGCTTCGAAAAACTTAATGCAGCTAAGAAAATCTTGCATTCAGCTAAGAGAAAATTGATCAAAATATCAATTCAGCTAATGAATCTTGCTTTTTATCTATGGAAACACCTATTCAGCTAAGAAAAACTTAATTCAGCTGAGAAAATTTTGAATTCAGCTATGAAAAATTTAATTTTTCTAAATCTTTATTGAAAATAATATAATTCAGCTAATGAATATTGATATTCAGCTATTAAAAACATAATTCAGCAACGAAAAACTCTATTCAGCTAAAGACAATTTAAATTCAGCTACGAAAATTTTAGCTGAATTGCAATATTATAGCACAGAATCGATGACAAATTTCGTTGCAATTCAACTGTTAAATATTCATTTTTCTTTTGCTGAATTTAATTTTAAGGCAAAAAATAAATTTTTTTTATTGCTGAATAATTGAAAAATTAGCTGAATATCAAAATTGTGAATTTAAACGGCTTTATTTAGCAATAATATTGCAATTCAGCTCTAAAAATGTAATTCCTTCTTTGCTGAATTGAATTTTTAAGCCAAAAATACATTTTTTTCATTGCTGAATTGATGAAAAATTAGCTGAATATCAAAAATGTTTAATACAATCGCATATTTATGCCTAAAATTTGCAAGACAGGTGGAAAAATTTTTGATTTTCCCTTGCTGAATTGTTGAAAAATTAGCTGAATATGAAATTTTTTTTATTTATATCAGTTTATTTATAAATAAAAATGTAATTCAGCTGGCAAAATTTTAATCTTTCCTTTGGTGAATTGAATTTTAAAGACGAATGTTGATTTTTTCCTTTGCTGAATTGTTGAAAAATTAGCTGAATAGCAAAAATTTGTATTACAATCGCATTATTTATGCATAGAATTGCACGACAGGTGAAAAAAATATGATTTTCCCTTGCTGAATTGTTGAAAAATTAGCTGAATAGCAAAATTTTTGCATAGAATCGTTTTAAATATGAATAAAATTGCAATTCAGCTGGCAAAATTTTAATGTTTCCCTTGCTGAATTGGAAAAAATTTGCTGAATTAGTTTTTTTTCTTTACCAAATGAATAAAAAATCTCCTCCTTAGTCTCCGTTTTTATTTATTACACGTCCCATTATCCCATAATTATCAATCAATTTCCGAAAACCCTTGATTGAGTTTCCATTCAAAATGAAAACAGGGCAGGGTTTTTTCCTTTAACTTAATTTTAACGGGAGACGACAAGGAGGAAGGAAGGGGCTCCCCTCCATGATAACACACACATTTAGTTTGGATTATCGCAACATTTCAACAGGACGAAGTCCTGGGCATGCGCCCCAAAAATAGAGAAAAACCCCCCCGGTGGCTCTCTCAGAAAATTCTGAGGGAGAGTAGGAGAGCAAGAAAATAGGAAAATAAAGTCAAGAAGGGGGAGGAGAAGTAGTCCGATGATGACTCCATTCCTCGGCAAACTTAAAACTATCACCAAATTGAAATTTAGTTTCAAAAAATTTTTATTTTTTTTTTAATTTTTTTATTATTATTTTTGGTTTTTCTTTTTTTCATACTTACTGGCATTCATTCATAATCTCATCCTGACTGCGTACTTGTACGGGCGCCAGCGCCTCAACATTTTCCTCAAAATTACCAAAACATTTGGTGATCTTCTCATCGAAGGTATTGACCAAATCTTCGAGGCTGCCACCGAAAGCCTCACTGAAATTATCAGCGGCATCCAAAAGACTCTTCGAATCAATGGCCGCCGACGATGAGGAGGTGGTGGTGCCACCATCCAATCCCATTGTGGTCATTTCATTGCTCAGCATGGTATTGCAATTGGGACTAATGGTGCCATTGACGCCACCATAGCCGCCACCACCACCATTTTTGCTGACATGAGCATCCCGAACGGCCTCCTCCAACAAACGGATTTTATTCTCCTGGGCCATCATCGGATCCTTGAGATTCAAATTCAACGAGTCATTGATGGTGTTCTGATTGGAAATGAAATCGCAACCGGCCCAATCATCAGTTTCATCCATTTTTGCCAGAGGAGCCTCAAATTTAAGCTCGGCCATTTTGGAACCGAGTTCACGCATGGCCCACTGTCTTGCCAAAGAGGAGGAAATAATATCCACAAAGGTTTGCGTTTGGGTTAGCTTTTCAAGCGAAAATTAGTGGCAGCAGGTTCGGCAGGTTGCAATGGAAAAAAAATACGATGGATGATATCAGCAGCAGGGCTCTCGTTGAATTATTTTTTCCTCCTGTTCCGTTTTGTTTTGGAATTCTCTGGCTAGGTTGTCTACCACTTGGTCTGACGAACGAACGACTGACTGACTCAATTATTCACTTGATTTCAGAGGCAAGGTTCAGCACGAATTCAGACTGACACATAAAATGCAGCAACAACAACACTACACACACTGAAATTACCACACAGAAAATACAAATCAACCCCCTTTTTTGTTGGAATTGTAATTCTGCTTCTTCTCCCTTTTGATTTTATTTCTTCTTTTAAGGGGTGTTTTTTCTTTTGTGTATATTATTTTGTTTGGTTTTGCACGAACAAACAAATTTTTGCACTTGTTATTTAGTTGTTGTTGTTTTATGCGATAACACCTTCAAACACTTTAAAATCGCTGATAATTTTTATTAGTTGTTAATTTTTCACAATTTCTTTGCATTTATTTTATTTCAAAATTTTCTTTTCCTTCAATATTTTGCCTGGTGGGAGTAGTACACAACCAAATTTGGCTCCCCCTTAATCGTGTTTGTATTTGCCTTTGAACAAAAACAAACAAATCAAACTTTGCAATCAATTTTTTTTCTTTGCACAGGCACACACACAGACACTTTTCTTCTTCTGCTTTTCAGTTTTACTTCACTTAGTTATTAATCAAATCAAACGTACGAAATTGTTGTTGTTGTTTTTTTTATATTGTATATTTGTTACATATATGTATATTTATTTTAATTTATTTATGTTTTATTTTTTTCACTCGCGCTAACCGTCGTTTTTCCGCTTCAACACGACCAACTCACATCGAATAATAAAATGCGAATAAATGAAATCCACCATAAAGAGAATTGTGTACAACGACTCTCTTTCTCTGCTCTCTCTCTCCGTTGACAGGGCAATATAAGTCGATATTACACTAATCGATTAATATGACATGACAGCGAAACAGCTGAGTTGCAGCCATTGTAGCAAGTAGTTGGTAAATGAGGAAATGAGACAGAGAGTGAAAAATAAACGGTGTTGCCAACTGAGCGTTTTTCAAAGGGAGTTGATTATTAAAACATCAATAAAGGAATTTAAGAAATTAAAGTGCCAACAATTTAAAGGAATGGTGCAAATTGTGCGTTTTTTAACAAGGACTTGTGGAAGATAAAGAGCGAAAAATAAACAATGATGCCTACTAAGTGTTTTTCAACCAATTTAACTATTAAAACGTCAATCATTAAGTATTGAAAAATGAAATTGTGAAAAAATATAATAATGTCAATGTTGCGTTTTTTAAAATGTCAATAATTTAAATTAAGTGTCAAACATTTAAAAGAATGGTGCAAATGTTGCGTTTTTGCAGAGACTTGTGGAAGATAGAGAAGGAATTTAACCATTGAAATATCTGTAAAAACAAAGATTGAAAAATAAATAGTGATGCCAACTAGGCGTTTTTATGGGATTTGACTATTGAAACGTTAAAAATGAAATTTATGAAATTTAAGTGCCAAAAAAGAATGGTGCAAATGTTGCGTTTTTGCAGAGATTTGGGAAAAAGATAGAGAGAGCGTTTAAAATAAATGGTGGTGCCAACTAAGAGTTTTTCAAAGGATCTGACTGTTAAAACGTCAATAATAAAATTTAACAAATTAAAGTGCCAAAATGTTGCTTTTGAGATTTTGGAAAGAGAGACAGAGTGATGCCAACTAAGCGCTTTCAACCAATTTGACGATTAAAACATCAATAATTAAATTTTTAAAAAAGAACTTGTAAACAATTTAATATTGTCAATGTTGCGTTTTTTAAAGGTTTGCCCCTTTAACAAATGGTTTTGGCGGTTTTTTCTTAGAATACGACAATAATTAATTTTAAGAAGTTAAATTGCTAGAAATAATGGAAAGGTGTCTATGATTTTGTAAAGAAAAAGTGAATGCCATCTTTGCGTTTTTTTTACTTGATTTAAAATATAAATGGTTATTGCCAATGTTGCGTTTTTTTCAGAAATTTAGGAAAGTAAGAGAATGAAAAATTGACTGTAATGCCAATTGTATGTTTTTCAAGGAATTGGACTATTAAAATGTCAATAATTAAATTTATGAATTGAAATGGCAAAAAAGTAATAGAATGAAAAAACGAGAGTAAAAGATAAAAAAATGTTGCCATCTTTGCGGATTTTATATGATTTAAAAAAATAAATATTTGTTGCCAATGTTGCGTTTTTCTGAGATTTAGGTAAGGTATATAGTGAAAAATAAACAGTGACTACAACAAAGCGTTTTTAAGGGATATGACTATTATAAAACGCAATTTTAATAAAACAGCAATTAATAAATTTTAAAAATTTTGGAGTTTATCAGAGATTGAAAAATAAACAGTGACATCATCTTAACGATTTTTTACTTGATTTGACATTTTTTGTTTTGTTATAAAAACCATTAATTAAATTTAACAAAATCAAATACAAAAAAAAAAAAAATAAAAAAAAATGTTGTGTTTTTTAATGCCAATACAGAAATTAATAAAAGGAAGTGAGACAAAAATAAAATAATGATGCCAATATTGCGTGTTTTATTATAACTGGACTATTTTTGTAAAAAAGAACGCAAAATGTCATCAATCATTAAAAAAAATTATCCGTTAAATGGTACTGGGAAGAATGATTGGGCGTCAAATATATATGTATTGTCAACGTTGCGCTTTTAAAATCATTTAACGTTTTTTTTTTTGCAAAAAGCAAACGCTAATATTGTAATTTGCAATCGTTTTTAGCGATTGGACGTTTGCTTAAAAAAAGAGTTAATGTGAAAATGTAATAAATGGATTGAAAAGAAAATTAAAATTAAATTTAATAATTATTTGGTTATTTTATTATTAAACATTTAGTTTTCTTGAATTTCTATTAATTATTTCTATTATTATTTTAATTAGCTTATTTAAGTATTTATTTAATTTTGTTTTGAATTATTTATTTATTTAATTATTTTTAATTGTTTATGTTTGTATTCTTTCAATGCTTTAAAACTACTTTTTATTATTTCTTTTATTTTTTAATTGTTTCCTTATTTTTTAATTACTTATTATTTACTTTTTTCTTAGTTATTTATTTTTTAATTATATTTTAAAAGAAAACATGAACCCTGGCAAATTTCTTGTCATTTGCCATACGCCTAATTTAAAGTTTCACTCCCTGCCCATTAACGATTACTTGAGCAATCAATCATCAGTCTCTCATCATTTTCTGATTACTCTTTGACATAACGGCCGTGGGTTTACAATTAGTCTACAACGTATAACACGTAACGTAAGGGCAATACAATGCATTAACAGGTAAAAAGGTTTGAAAATGGAAAATAATTTTTGGAAAACAAAACATATGGTAATTATGTTATTGTTATTTAGAAAACATGCATGTTTATGCATGACATAATACAATAATACAGGTAAAATGGAAATATATTTATACAAATAAGTATATGTGATAACATATGTGCGATCTTGAATGCCGTGTGTGGCTTTGTTTGTGGGAGGATGGGCATATTATTTTCAAAAAAATAAATATTGTGATAATTGGAAAGGCACATTTCAGGGGGTTTTCTCGTGCAATAAAATACTTGTAAAATGAAAAAAAAAAAATGAATGAAATGAATTAAAAATTATGAAATTGAAAAAATTGTTAGGTTATGTTATCACTTATCGACTTGATCTAACCTCAAAATAATAGGCATATTATTTTCAAGTAAAATATTGGGATAATTGAAAATACGCATTTAGATTTTTTCTCGTACAATAAAATACTTGTGAAAAAAATGGAATTAAAAATTATAAAATTGAAAAAAAACGAAATTGTTAGGTTATGATGTCACTTATCGACTTGACCTAACCTCAAAATAAAAGGCATATTATTCTCAAAATATATATATTGGGATAATTGCAAAGACACATTTCATTTTTTCTCGTACAATAAAATAATTGTAAAATAAAAAATAGAATTAAAAATTAAATTTAAATACAAAAAATGTTGTTCTTTCCTGGCCTTTATTTAATTTTATTTTTTTTTTCAAATAACCTAGTCCACTATTTTTTCTCAGAATATAATTTTGCAATATTGTTTCTATATTTACTTCCTTTCTGAATGGCTCAGTTTTGATTTCTAAATAAATTTCTGAATGAAAGAGTTGCTGTTGTTGGATCTTCGTTCATGGCTTCTTATCACAAAATTTTCAAAACAGAAAAAAACTCGACAAGTGCGTACTTTATTCTCAAAAGAGTGGCATATCAACAATAATTTTAATACAAATACATATTTAAATATTTCTTTTTAAATATCAGACACTTGTGCGCCACAATTGAATCTGAAAAGTGAAAGTTCTTCACAACGAAATATTGAACACCCTATTCGTATTATTAGAACAACATAAAAAAGAAAATTTTAAGACTTAGACCAGTAAAAAAACACGGAGTCTCCAGTTCACATAAAAAGTATTACTGAGCTTTTTACTGGTCTCACTGAGCCTTCCGATCGCCTATGAAGCTACCCTGATGGGTTTCTGCTGTTAATTCTAATAAAAATAAACTTCTGGAGCATTGAGCTAACCTGCAATGACTTAATCTCCCTGAAAACATTAATTTAGGCTGGGGGTGTCAAAGAGGAAATAACTTTACACTAAATTTCGGCATGGGTCACAGAACACAAGAAATCTCTAGGTTTAATATGTTATGGGGAAATATAACCTCAAAATAAAAAATACTAATTTTATATTGCATTTTTAATGATTTCCGATTTATGCCTCATTCTACCTGAAAGCGTTTATTTAGAGTATTGATGTCAAAGAAAAACATATTCTACACTAAATTCCATTATAGGTCATGGAACACAAAAAATCTGTAGCTGTAATCTATAACCTAGAAATATCGCCACAAAAAATGTAAAATTAGTGCAGAACATAGGTTCTGCACTAAGAGCTCAAATCTCCAACTAAACTTTGTGTTAGGGATTTGATGTCAAAGGAAAAATTATTCTGCACTAAATTCTAGAGTAGGTCACCGAACAATTGAAATCCGTGGCTACAATATATAATCTGGAAATATCAGGCGGGATATGGCATAAGCATTAAAATATAGTTTTATTGTTTTTTTTTTTATAAAATGATTATAGAGTTTTCGTTTTGAACTCAAATCTCCTACAGAACTTCGCTTTATAAGATTGGTTCTAAAGGGAAATGTGTTCTCCGCAATATTCCATTATAGGTCACCGACCAATAAAAATCTGTAGCTCTAATATATAACCGGGTAGTGGGGTCACTATTATATAGAAACATAAAATTACCGATTTTTTATATTAAGAATCAAAGCTTTTGCAATTTGTGCCCGAATCTCCTACAAAACTTCGTTTTATAAGACTGGTTCTAAAGGGAAATGTATTCTCCGAAAAATTCCATGATAGATCACCGACCAATAGAAATCTGTAGCTCTAAGATATAACCGGGAAGTGGGGCCACTATTATATTGAAACATAAAATTATATATTTTTTGTATTAAATTTCAAAGGTTTTGCGATTTGTGCCCGAATCTCCTACAAAACTTCGATTCAGGGTATAGATGCTAAAGGGAAATTAATTCTTCGAAAAATTCCATTATAGGTCACCGACCAATATAAATCCGTAGCTCTAATATATAACCGGGAAATATGGCCACAAAAATATAGAAATATTTTATGACCGTATTTTTGTATTAAATTTCAAAGGTTTTGCGATTTGTGCCCGAATCTCCTACAATACTTCGTTTTAGGGGATTGGTATCGAAGAAGAAATTGCTCTGCATTAAATTCCATTATAGGTCACCGACCAATAGAAATCCGTAGCTCCAATGTATAACCTGGAAATATGGCCACAAAAAATACAGAAATATTTTATGACCGTATTTTTGTATCAAATTTCAAAGCTTTTGCGATTTGTGCCCGAATCTCTTACAAAACTTCGTTTTAGGGGATTGTTGCTAAAGGGAAATTTATTCTCCGGAAAATTCTATTATAGGTCACCGACCAATAGAAATCCGTAGCTCTAATATATAACCGGGAAATATGGCCACAAAAATATAGAAATATTTTATGACCGTATTTTTGTATTAAATTTCAAAGCGATCTGTGGCCGAATCTCCTACAAAACTTTTTAGGGTATAGATGCTAAAAGGAAAATTATTCTCCGGAAAATTCCATTATAGGTCATCGACCAAAAGAAACCTATAGATCCAATATATTAGCGGGAATTATCACCAGAAAAATATACAAATAATAGCCCTTTGCAGCAAAAATTTCTTGGCCAGAGGCTAACAAAAAAATTCGATCCCCCTAAATTCCATCCATAAGGTTACTTTGTAGTCGGCCACTTCGGAACAATTCGATTCAAACCAACTTATTTCACAAAAAAAAAATTAAATCTTGAAACTGATAAGGATGCCTGGCTAGGTATTATTAGTTTGAAATGCCTTATCAGTTCTCAACACTCAAAAATTTTGGAATTGCATTGAGTACACGGTTCGTTTATGGCTTGGCTTGTCGGGCACAGATTATGTGACGACATTTCGCAAAATTCAAACGGGGGGTTTGTGTTCAATTTGTATTTTTTTATAGTAAAGAGATTGCGATATATTTTTTCTTCTTTTTGTTTTGTTTTGCTGAAAATATCTCAAACCACAGGCCTTGCTGCGGATGCTGACATGCGGATGCCGATGCTAGTCACAAGAAATAGATTTCTTCGGGGCCCTACGGCGACAACAGCAGTTAGTATTTGAACAGCAAAATGAAAGCAACTATTTTTCTGGCCGCTTGCCTATTCGTGAATCTGGGGGCGCAAGGAGTTGTGGGCCAGCAGCAGGAGGAGGATCTGCAGGATGATGAGACCAATATCTACAAGACATCGAAATATAAATATTTTATAGAACCCAGACAAAAGGTATGGAGAAGAAGTAATGCATTTTAAAAGATATTAAAATTTGCAATTAATTTTTTTGCAGTTTACCTGGTCCCAGGCCCTCGAGGAATGTAAAAAGAAAAAAATGAATTTAGCCACCATTGATAGCAAGGAAAGGGCTGATGATTTGAAAATAGTTTTGAATGAAGCCTTTGGCTGTAAGTAATTTAATGTTCAGCTGCCTTTAATCACCATTTTTTTTATGTGATATCCTCCTTCTTCCCTCCTCTTAGATGAAAAGAAACGCATACCCCGTTTGTATATTGGTGCCAACGATCTGGATGAATTCCGTGAATTTGTATGGATTGCCAAGGGTGACATCTTCAGCTATACGAATTGGGAAAAGGGTGAACCGAATAATTATAAAAAATTAAATGAACGTTGTGTCCACATCGGATTCCATGGCGATGACAAATGGAATGACATCAATTGTAATCGGAAATATGGTTTCATATGTGATTTGGTTTTGGGCGTTGAGGATCTGTCGAATTTGGTGGTGAAGGCTTGAAGACGAACAAAGATATCCAAGGCAAAACTAAATTTATTTTTTTCGAATAAAATTTTGAAGAAGTATTAAAAATATATATGTATTTTGAATGGATATTTCACAGGGATTTCTAGATCAATGCTGGGAATATTTGGAATTTTTGGAATAGGGATTTAAAGTTCAATATCTGGATTAGAAGAGAATAAAAAACAAAAATCAAACTGATTTTTATGGGAACGTGGAGGACCCTTTGAGTTTTTTAGGCAGCCGAAATACTCAGAAGTTTGCAGAGGTGACCTACAGGTCCTTTATAGAAACTTGGAGGACTCCATGAGTTCTATAAGCAGCCAGAATACTCAGTGGTTTGCAGAGATGAGGCAAGCGGAGGACTCCATGATTTTTTTAGGCTGCCGGAATACTCACTAGTTTGCTGAGGTGACCTATAGGCCCTTTATGGGATAGCGGAGGACTCCATGAGTTTTTTTAAGGCAACCGGAATATTCGGAAGTTTGCAGAGGTGACCTAGGCCCTTTATAGAAACGTGGAGAACTTCATGGGTTTTTTAGGCAGCCGGAAATACGTATACATTTGCAGAGGTGAGCAAGCGGAGGACTCCATGAGTTCCTATAGGCAGCCGGAATACTCAGGAGTTTGCAGAGGTGAACTACAGGCCCTTTAAAGGAACGTGGCGGACTTCATGAGTTTTTTTAGGCAATCGGAATACTCAGGAGTTTACAGAGGTGATCTACAAGCCCTTTATAGGAACATGGAGGACTTGTAGAGAAGAGGTAAACGCCGCTTATAGGAGAGCGGACTCCATGAGCTCTATAGGCAGCCGGAGTGCACAGGAGTTTTCACAGGGTGACCTAAAGCCATCGAAGGACTTCATGAGTTCCAGGTAAGCGGAGGACTCCATGAGTTGTATAACCATGCGGAATACTAGGGAGATTACAGAGTAGAGTCATGGAGTTTGCAGAGGTGACCTAAAGCCCTTTTATAGAACATCGTGACCTGAAGCCCTTTATAGACTCTATGAGTTGGCAGCCGGAATGCTCATGACTTTACACGGGGTGATCTAAAGCCCTTTTTTAGAACATCGAAGGACTCCATATGATCTAAAGGGCAGCCGGAATGCTCAGGAGTTTGCGGAGATAAGGTAAAGACATTTTAAGGAAAGCTAAGGACTCCATTTATTTTATATGCAGTCGAAATATTCACTAGTTTACAGAGATGACCTCCAGGCCCTTTACATGAAAGCTTAAAGCCTAAATGTTCAAGAAGAGAAAACGTTATGAAAAAACCGGTATTTTTTATAGTTCAAATGAAGTGGAAAACTTCGTTAGTTTTTTAGACATGTCGAATACCCAGAAGTTCCAAAAAGGCGTGCTTAAGTCAATGGCAGTCTTATTGACAGAACTGAAGGCCCACCAAATCGTTGATGCAGTCTAAGGAAGGGCAAAGCAAGGTCTCTTCGTTTGTTCAGCTGAATGCTTATAAGGCCCTATGGTCTCTACACTGAAGAATGGGTGTTTATAAATATCTATAATATCTATAGACCAGACCCAATAGATATTTTAAAATATCTGTGGTCTCTACACAAACGAATGGGTCTTTATAAATATCTATGATCTCTAGACCCGTTTCAATTGGTATTTATAAAAAACTGATGGTCTTTAGGACAGACAAATGGATCTTTATAACCCCCTATGATCTCTATACCAGCTCTAATTGGTTTTTATAAAAATCTTGTGGTTCCTAGACCAGGTCCATAGGTATTAATAAATACCCGTGGTCTACATTCCCGATTCTATTGACATTTTTAAACGCCTGTGGTCTCTATGCTGGCGAATGGGTCTTGATAAAGTTCTGTATCAATTGATATTTACAAAGACCTGTGACTTCTAGTTCCGATTAATTTACCTTTTCAAAAACCCATGGCCTCTGTATTGATCAAAAGGGTCACAGGTCTCATAAAAATCCCCCATTTCCATCTAAAGAAAACATTTTTTTCACTTTTAGGTCCACAACTCGTCTATGTTTTAACCTGTTTATTATCTTCACAAATGAAACCGAATTTCATATCACAATCAATGTCATTCCAGGTGCCATCATCGTACAGACCCAAATGGACACAACGCTCATTCTTTTCATAGTTATTCGGTTCGAATTCACTCCAGTTGGTATATTGAAATTTATGACCCGTTGGCGTCCAGAGAAATTGCTTGCGGTCGGCCAAATTGTTGCCGCCAATGTAGAGCAGGGGTTTTTCTTTGCCTAAAGAAAAAAAGGAAAAGCTGTAGTTAAAAAAAACTAATCGTATTGGAATTTTTCAAACCTTTAAAAACCGTATTAATCAAATCATTTATTTCCTGCATTTTCTCGGCACTCTCAATGCTCAGCAGATCCATATTATTTACTTTACATTCCGCATCCGATTGAAACCAATTGTACTGGGAATAAAAATAATTCAGTGAATTTATTTTGAAATTAAAAAAATATATATTTTGAAATTAATTTACCTTATTACGTATTTCAATTAAATATCTATTATTTTGTGAAGATGTATAGAATTCAGCCGCAATTGTATTGATTTGGAAATAACAAATCCAGAGAACAACAGCTGATAAGAAGAAAATTGGCGATGTTGACTTCATTGTGGCTGGCTAATAACTGAAACAATACTTATCAGAAACAGAATCAGAATCTCTAAATCTGAGTTTGTATTTTTTTATTAAATTACACATTTATTTTTATAATCTCTGTTTTTATTTTATTTTTGTATTGTGGAATTCAATTTCTTGGCATAAATCATTCGACCAGTTGCATGAATAATTTTTGTATTTAATTTTAGAAAAATAGGAAATGAAATGATTAAGGCATTCAGTTAATAATGTATTTAAAAAAGGTTTGAAAATCATTTTTTTAATAATAACATCTTTAATTGAAATCTTATCACTGTATTTTTCTGATTTAAATATTTATGGATTTTGAATTCAATATACCAAACGAAATTGGGATTTGAATCAAGTAATTTTTGATGTTAATAAAGCTGGAGCTCCAGGTAGCCTTAATAATCGAGATAGAGTCTAAGGAATTCATTTTAAATTGATGACAAGCCGAATACTTCGGACAAATTTTTAGGATTTTTTTTATTTTATGCTTTAAATAATAATAATAAAAAAATGCATTTCCTTCCCTTTGAACCCCCCAATTTTTCAGGCAATGTTTTAATAA